TTAATGAAATAATTTCACTAAATTAATAAAAATTCCAATGAAATCATTTCTACAAAAATTTCAGCGGTCAGTAGGGTAAGCTTTTTTTTTTTTTTTTTTTAATTAGTTTTTTTTTTTTCTTTTCTTTTTTGTTTTGTTTTAAGGTTCACAAAACACCTGGCTATCGGCCAACCTGATGATATGTAAAAAAAAAAGTTCTATTGTAGAATAAAAATTTCTATGAAAAATAAATATATATGTGACCTGGTCTACGGAAAGGGGAGAAAAAAAATCTTAGTTGATTCGGATGGAAGATGAGATGCTTTTTCACGTGATAGAATCCAAAAAATCATAAACTAGTTTTCGCACGTTAGCTCTCTTTTCGTAGACCAGGTATATATACATATATTAAAACTGGCCACATTACCCTACTGACCCCTTAATAAAAAAACTAAAAATTTTCTTTCTACAAAAATTAAAAATAAAATAAAATGATGCTTTACAGTTATTTATACAATTCATTTTAACGAAATAATTTCACTAAATTAATAAAAATTCCAATGAAATTATTTCTAAAAAAAAATTTATAATTTTTTAAATAATAATTTCATTATCAATAAACAGAATTAAAGTGCCTTTTTATCTTATTTCCTCAGTACAACTCTCATTAACTATCCACAATAATATTTTTTTAATAACACAATATTTTTGCAATAATTTTTATTTTTATTTGTTTTTTTTTTTTCAAACCCTTTGACCATAAAAATTTTGTTCTGCCAATTAAGTACGCCACAACTCAGTTACAAACTTAATTAAAATCATAAATGCATACAAGCGCATATACTACACTCAACGATTTCGCAAAATATGTGCCAGCAATGATTTAACTAATTAAAATCACTGTCAAGACAATGTGGCGAAAAGTTCATGCATAACTGCCACGCCGCAAATGTCCACACGTTGACACCTCAACAAAACATGCAGCGCACACAGACACATGCATGCATACATGCATACTTATCAACATATAGCGATCTATATGTATAACGAATAATTAAAATGGTTGACACAAAAAGAGTTGCACATGAAATCACCAGCGCAACCGCAGAACCTTAACAAAACCTCAGAAGGTTGTCACATTCCATAAAATGTATAATGCATATACATATGTGCACGGGCATGTACCTGTTATTCGTTTGTAACAACGAACTAGCAGATTTATTTTGTATGCTTGAAAGCCGCAACAGAAATTCTAATTAAATACGCAAGGCACAACTGAATGGAAATTTAGTCTGSTGGGAGTAAAAGCAGAAAGGAGCAGTGTAGGTGATGAAGTATTTTTTAAAGAACCCGAAGAACAGCTTATCTTCACTATAACACTGTATTGCCGCCAAAAATATGAAGATTTTATAATTTTCAATTACCCATTGCTCATAATACCAAAACCAGGTCGACGTTCATACTAGAATATCAAAGTCATCAAAAAAACAGATAAGCTGTGAAAATTTGAGGAAAATAGAGCAGCCGTAGCTATGTACACGAAGTCCGTGAAGAATCGAATCGGCGCCGTTCACAGCAACTCGGACTGACGTATGGAACGACTTGTCGCGTCCAAAATCGAGCGTGTGCAAAAACTGAAACCGCTCGACCTTCCCAAGTTTCATCGCTTCACTCTATSGGCTATTGAAAAGTTCCAAGAAGATTYGACGTTTTCGACCCAAATCCTGTTCAGCGAAGACGCCCATTTCTGTCTCAATGRGTATGTAAACAAACAACCTGAAGACATTTAATAGATGTCAATTCATCAAGAAACACAAACACAGATTGGTTTGTGGGTTAGTGATATCATCGAACCGTATTTCTTCATGAATGGTACCGGTGTAAGCGTAACCGTCAATGGTGACCGTTATCGCGTTATGATAACCGACTATTTGATGCCAGAWATTGAAGCTCGTGATTTCGGCGACATTTGGTTTCGGCAAAACGACGCCACTTCCCACTTCGTATCAATCAGTAGATTTATTGAGAGAACACTTCGGTGTGCAGATAATTTCACTTTTTGAGCCGGTCTATTAGCMACACAGATCATGTGCTATCACACCGTTAGACTTTTTCTTGTGGGTATATATATAAAGCCCACAGTCTGTGTGAGTAATCCCGTTTCAATTCAGGCCTTGGAGCAAATCATCACGGGTGTAATTCGGCAGTTACCAGTCAAAATGCTCGAATGAGTCATTAAAAGTTGGTCTCAACGACGGACCTTCTGAGACATAGCCGCGGCCAACGTTTGGATGAACTAGTCCTCAAAAAATAAATGCCAAGGAATGTTTTTTCGAATGTGAAAAAAAAAACATTTCTAAATTTAAAGTTTCTTTGTTTTTTCTTTAAGTGTATGTATCACTATTTAGAATTTCCGAATATTCCCCGAAAGTCTGAATTTGATCCGGAAAATAATTTCGGAGAAATTATATTAGATTAGAATTGTCTTCATTTTATTTGCACCAATTTCGTAGATTTTATAGCTAATTGTGAATTAATGATCGAGGAATAATATCGAATATAGCTATGATTTCTACTAGTTGGATTATAACTAGTTAATGAGATGTAGCATTTTTGTGAAGCAACTTGTGTTGGTTTACAAAAAAAATGGATCTTAAAGCAATTCTTGTGTTAAAAAAGCACTGCTTTTTGGTTGAAAATTCTGTTGAATTTGGAATCAGGGAATTCACCGTTGAAAAGGCATTTGCATAGCTGGAAACAGACGAAATGACCACCGAGCAGAATAGTGTTCTAAAGAGGTGAAAGCTTTGTGCAAATTGGGTGCCTTGCAAGTTCATAATCCAACAAAAACAACGAATAACTGATTCTAAGTAGCGTTTGAGTGTTCTTTAATTAATTGTAATAAAATCGAATTTTCGCAGCGGTGTGTGAGAATGGAAACTTAGCTCCATCATTTGCCAATGGAGTCCAATCGACAGTCATTCTACTGGACTGCACATAATGAACCGGATCTCAGGCGTGGAAAGACGAAAAAGTCGGTATAATACACACATACTCAACGACTGATTACTGAGCCAGTTATAATCTATTTCACTGCATATTTGGTTGCACTCCTTTTCTACTATACCAAATACTTAGCAATTGTACTATTTTTAGGAGGAATCTGTTTCAAATTGTACGCATATTTGAAATATAATTTTTGTATTTATAAGTTGTATTAAATTTTGACATAAAGAGATAAGAGTAGGATATCTTTACCCTAGTTCTAAGCTACCTCCCCACCAAGTTTTAGCCAATTTTAGAATAATTTAAAGGTTTTTCAAAATTTCCTATTGTTAAATTAAATAAGATTTGTTTCCAAATCTGCGAAATTACTTAGCTCCAGCTTAATTGAAAAGATAAATGTTGACTACATTTGGGCTAAAAGCGAATATCGGTGACTAATACATTAAATTGAAAAGGACTTGTTATTTTATTAACTATTTTATGAACTTTTTCTCTTTCGGTAAATGTTTTCCCAAAATTGAAAGCTCTTTGGAACTTCCTTTGACTGAGACAATTCAACTTTGAGTACTGAATCAATTGATTATCGAAAAAAATATTAAATATTCTCAAGGTCGTTAGAAATTTTTCCTATAGAAAAGTTTAAGCTCTTTCTCTTAATATTATTAATATTTTCGAAAATGGAAAGCAAATRTAAAGATTCTTCAAATTATCATCAAAGCTTTGCCTCGCAAAGAGAATAATATAATTTCGTTTCGAATACTCAAAATATAAATCCAATCAAATTTATTTCCAGAAATTTAATTCCTAAAATATGCAAGTATTTTATTTTCAGCATGACGCTTACCTTAACATTTTGAAAAATATACCTTCTAATTGAAGTGTTGTCACAAATACTCCTTGACCGTAGACCAAAAAGTGTATTGTATCATTGCAGCATGAGCATCAACCTAACTTTTTAATTAACTGATTTAACTGAAAACTTTTTCGAGACACACAAAAACACATAAACCGAAATGCASCAAACTGGCCACACTAGAGTTTATGAAACTCTCTTACGCTGGCTGCACTTCAGTGGCTGCACTAATGCTCCCGCTGCGCATAAACATATACCAACAAATAGGTATGTTTATAGCTATACATGTGAAGGTGATACATATTTCACTCGTCTACGTTTTYGCATAATCACTGCCGTGGTTGTTTTATGTTTTTTGCCTGGATTTCTGTGGTTGCTTTGGTTGCTGCAAAAAAAGGCTATACRCTAATATTTATTTCCATACAAATATGAGAATGCTGACACATAATTGCATACATTTAGGGGCATACACAGAGAAATATGTAGAGTTAGTTGTTAAAATGTGTTAAGTTAATTTTTGACAGTTTTCAATAATCGTTAATTTTATATTTTGGAAGTTATGCCAAGTTTCGAGAAGATATCTTGTCAAATAMAAAACTTTTTCATACAAAGACTTCATTTCGCCCGMCCAATTTGTATGTCAGCTATATCATATATTGATCCGATCTTAATAATATTTAAGAATAATGTTATTATGAATTGGAGAATAATTCACGCCAGACTTCGTGGAGATATCTTATCAAATAAACAATTTTTCCATACAAGGGCCAGATTTTGGTCGATCAGCTATATGCTATAGTAGWCCGATTTWATTGATTATAATAAAAGAGCAGCTCTTAAGACGATAAGAAWGTATGCAAAATTTCAGATTCATATCTCAAAAACTGAGGTACTAGTTCGCGTAATTAGAGACAGACGGCGGACAGGCAAACGAACATGACTCAATGGTCCCAGCTCGTCACGGTGAACTATTATATGTATATGTATTTTAGATATCAGATGATTTTTTTGAGTTTTAAAAATTTTGAAAATATTGTATGGATTTAAGTATTTTTAGTTGTAAACATTTACATATGTATATTTGACTTTGGCCAGTCAAAAAAAAAACAAAAGAAAAAAAAAATTAAACGGACCGTACATGTTTGTCTATACGTATATGGAATAGCGAAAGAATTAAGTGAGGCAAATGCGCTAGGAAAATTTCTGCTTAAATGCTAATAATTTAATTTGCATTTTTGTAGCGACTTTTAATTGGTGCTAATGTCCTTACATGCAAATGTGAGCGGACTTAGAGTCATAAGCTATGGAAAAACTGCATATGTACATATGTATAAGAGAGAGCAGATATTAGCATATTTTATACAGATATATGTATATATAATATAACACAAGTCCGTATATGGGTTTTAACTTTTGCTTGCTAAGCTACGAGCCGCCAAACTTTAATATTACTAACACATGCTAGAGCTCAGCAAGTGGATATACGATATATGTAAATGTTAGAATAGGCGAAAATATTTTTGAACATTTTTTACGTTTTCTTTTTATAAATCTCAATTAATTCTTAAATAAAAAAATTGTTACCTAAATAATTGATTTGATTAGATATCCACAACCAACATTCAATGTCAATTTTTATCTTCCCATTGCAGGTGTCAAATATACCTCCAGCGTAACGGAAATTGGCGAATATCGCAACGCAATGCAATTGCATATCAGTGATTTGACGCAAGCAGAGTTCGGCGCTTATCGTTGTGTGGCGAAAAATTCACTKGGCGACACCGATGGCACCATAAAATTATATCGTAAGTTAATAAACGTTATTAGTTGGCCGGCATTGAACTTAAATGAAGCTTTTATGTTAAAGCTTTTATTAACAAAAAAAATTATTTTAAGCGTTTGAAATTGGTATGRTAAAATGCTGAGTTTCTAAAGCAGATTAAAAATTGGGATAAAATGGAAACATTACAATTTTTATAATCTCGCAACAAAGTTGCYAAAGAGAGTATTATAGTTTTGTTCACATAACGGTTGTTTGTAAGTCCTAAAACTAAAAGAGTCAGATATAGGGCTACATATACCAAAGTGATCAGGGTGACGAGTAGAGTTGAAATCCGTCCGTCCGTGCAAGCTGTAACTTGAGTAAAAATTGAGATATCATAATGAAACTTRGTWCACGTATTTCTTGGCTCCATAAGAAGGCTAAGTTCGGAGATGGGCAAAATCGGCCCACTGCCACGCCCACAAAATGGCGAAAACCGAAAACGTTTAAAGTGTCATAACTAAGCCATAAACAAAGATATTAAAATGAAATTTGGCAAAAAGGATCACATTAGGGAAGGGCATATTTGGACGTATTTTTTTTGGAAAAGTGGGCGTGGCCTCGCCCCCTACTAACTTTTTTGTACATATCTCGAAAACTACTATATCTATGCAAACCAAACTCTACACAGTCGTTTAATTTAGGCATTTCCACATACAGTTCAAAAAGGGAACAAATCGGATAATAACCACGCCCACCTCCCATACAAAGAATTTGTTGAAAAACACTAAAAGTGCGTTAACCGACTAACAAAAAACGTCAGAAATACTAAATTTTACGGAAGAAATATCAGAAGGGAGCTGCATCCAGCCCTTTTTTAAAAATTGGAAATGGGCCTGGCGCCGCCTACTTATGGACCAAAAACTATATCTCAGGAAGTACTCTACCGATTTCAATGAAATTCGGGATGTAATATTTTCTTAACACCCTAATGACATGTAACAAATGCGGGTGAAATCGGTTCACAACCACGCCTGAAATCTCGATTATCACTTTATCATGCGAGAGTATAAAATGTTCGGTGACACTCGAACTTAGCCCTTCCTTACTAGTTTATTTTTGGTTAAAGCAAAGATATATTGAACGTGATGATCGAAATTATACATAAGAGGAATTTAGTAACAACTATATATATATTTTTTTTTTCAATAATTATAGGTAAATCAGGATATGAAATTATATGACATATCAGTTTTGCGGGGATACCCAATTCAGATATCGCCGCATAAAAATAGCTCTTTGCAGCTTTGAATAGGTGGTGCGTTTAGTTTTCTTTTCACGGGACTTTTTCAAGATTTGACGCTTGGGCAGGGCATGTGACACCTGACATGTCTTTATGTCAGGACCACATGGTGAATTTATATGAACCTCCCAATTAATCTTTGGGTTGTCCTGATGAAACACAATTCCTCTCCCATTGGCCATTGCCCATTACTGTCTTAGCAAACTTTTGCAATGGTTCATTGCGTATACGTCACGATCCTCGTAAATGTCACAACATATTACTAGTATTCGTCCGCTTCGAACGATTTTTTGCGATTCGGAGCGGCTTCAGTTCATGAAATATGTTCAGCCGCGCTCATATGCACTTTGGTGCAATGAACCCCACCCCAACCATGACGCCATCTTGTACATAGTGCCCTTATACATCATCGGAAGGTATATTGCTGCAAAACTTGCTATTAGACTTAGAGAATCTGGCTTCTTAAAAGAACACGTATCTCAACACTAGGATTTCTCCACACACTTTAACTTTATACTGGATCACTTGAATCATGGAGTCGCCAAGCCTAACTGTGGCTGCTCCTTCTCTGCCCATATACCTATGAGGGAGCTTTGGGTTTGAAGAAGCCGTTAGAGGAGAGCTTCTTTACGGATAGCTCATAGCCTTGAGGGAAAGATTGTGGAGGACTGCATGACTCTTGAAGTATCTTCCACGCATAGGTTGCAGCTATTAAGTTTGCAGCAGGTCGACTGCTCCGGACTGCAGCCTCCTTTAGAGAAGTGACCATTCACTGAGATAGTGGAGAGACGACACTAGTCTTGAACTCACAAACAGTACATTCAAGGTTAGTCAAGGAGTGCCTAACTTCGCTAGCAATAGCATCGAGAGCCTTTGTGATAAGACTAGTTTGGAAGCCAGACCATAGCAAAATCTCATTAAATTGCAAAGCCAGGAAATGAGACAAAAACATCTTGACCCAAGATAGATAACAAGGGATCTTTTGATATCTTTGCTCACAGGTGGGCTAGCCTCTCCTTAGCTATGGGTCTTTTAACGGGCCATTGGCCTATTGGCGTCTAAGCTGTAAGTTTGTGAATCCCACAAGACGCCTTCTGGAACAGCTTTATGAAAGAACTCAATACTTCCTTCTTCACTCTCATGCGTTTGAAAGGTCGAGACTTAAACACTTGGGAGCGCATACCTTCAAACATCCCACCGAACTGGCAGGAATGGAAATTAAAGTCCTGTGCAAATTTGTATTGGCCACTAAACGTTTTTCTAATTTATAAGTTCGAACACAGGAGTTTTTTTCTATGGTTTCAGAAGTGGCTGACCACGTGCGATATTTGATCTAACCTAACTTAATCCAACCTAACCTTCGGAAAACGTTTCTCAAGGCTTTTTGCGAAAATTACAGTCGCTCTCAGCGAGTTTATCCATATTTTTGACAATAGGCTTGTTTTTTTTAAGATAGATGGGGATACAAGACTGTTCGTATATCTATACTATACATACATGGATAAACAGTCAACGTCTTTAAAGTGAAATTTATTCTGAATAACATAATATAAAATACTATAAAAAAAAAATTATTTAAAAGCCTCATAAAACCAAAACTAAACACATTTGCATTCAAGATCAAATCAGCTTAAAAATAATCCGCGAAATTGCGGCAATGAATGCGACCCCTAAACCGAATAGCGCGGCCAACTTAGCGCATTCGCAGGCTTGCATTTCTTTTAGTGAATTAACTATGGCAGAAATATTTAACCGCTTCGCTGACGGCRGCTCGGTCGTACGCAGACACCTGCACTTGGACGTAATTGAATTTAAATATTTTCAACCACGACTGCGAGTATTTGCGTCAGCGGAACAAGGGTCGTGGGGAGGCATTGCATTTTAATGAACTTCATTCATACACCTTTCGCGCGCTGGAATGTGACGAAAGAATGCTGGCGTGATTTTTTGCGAAATTTTTAATTTTTCCACATTTTTTCGCTTTTCATTTGCATAAYTTGTATGATTTGTTGTAGGAGTTAGCGTTCAGCTGCCGTGATTTTTTAACTGATTTTTTTTTTTTATTCGACTAATCCATACAAATTTTTCATTCTTTGCTATTATTTTCGTAGGAATACCACCGACTGCTGTGAATTATGTGGAGAACTCGGAAGGACGTTACAAAGGTGAGTGTCAGCGCTGACCAGCGCCTGTCAATAGTGAACGCTTTATGTACCACTGTTTATGCGTGRGTGTGTTTGTGTATACACATCCACATATRTGTGTGTGTGTGTTAGTGCAGTAAGACTATGCAAATGCAAATCAGCGCACTTCAATGTCTATTCCGTCCGCGTTGTAGACGCCATTCAACACTGACGCCGAGGCAAGCAGTAATAGCCACTCGTCATAATTTTTTACAATTTTTTTCCTCGCATATTTCTTTATGAATATGTATGTGGTATAAGCACMATAACTAAAGGTTGGTGTGCTCTCATATCTAAGGCAATGCCACTACGTGCAGACTAGACGCCGCTAACATTCGCGTCGGCTTTTGTGATGACATTGTGCACGTGCTGTGTAAGAGAATGTGTATATATGTATGGGTATGAAAGACAAAAAACAAATAATTCATTGCTTTAAAAAGTGCGAGGCAAATAAATTATTTATTTTCGGCTTCAAACAAATCCTCAGGCGTACGAATTTAATCGCCACCAGGCAGGCGTGCATTATGGCAAACAACAACCGCGCTCTCGATGGCGAGTAACTATCGTGAGAACGAAGCGTTGGGTGGGGTCACAATGAATCATAGTTCGACAGGTACAGTGTGTATGAAAAATAGTAAAAGTGATATTAGGTTAAAACATCAAGTAAAGTCATTATACACTTCATAGGGGATTTTGTAGCAGTGGCATACAAGATCTTTATCTGGAGTTTTAACGGTGAGTTTGTAAGTCAGCAATTTGCTGTAGTTATCCGATCAAAAGAGTTCCCTCCCCCCACCCTCTGATCAATTATATATATCTCCCACTTTTCAACTAGGAAAGAAGGTTGAAAGTAAACTAGGGAAATATAATAGCCGTAAAGCTATGTTAGCTACGCGCAACACTCTAAACTTTTATACGCATGGCTTGAAAATGGAGGATTCAAGCTGAGGTCTTGGCTATTGCGAAATCCTAGGTTGCCAAGAATGGTGTACATCTAACATCCGAAAACGTGATCAACAGTGGGCAACCCGTGCATTGTCTATACGCTCATCCGAACAGAAGCATGGTAAATRAAATTAAAACCCAATGGAATGAGCTACCTGGTTGCAAAACTGCAAAAGTCATGTTCAAAACGGTAGATTGGAAGTACAGTAAATTCCTGTTGGCACTCAAAGCATGATCGGATTACTGATCGGTCAGGCTCGCAGAATGAGACTGACTGACGGCTGGAAATGTCTAAGACAAGACAACAGGGAAATAATGGAGTATCTCCTGTGCACCTGTCTCACGTTGGTAAAACTACGCTGTAAAATCGGTATGATGCGCTGGAAAATCTATCGACACAAATTCACTTAAAATTCGAGTCAAGCCAAGGCGTCCTAAAGGATAACTTCTCATAGATGTAGTAACTCAGCTCCATCTGGCATTTYCCTACTAGACTATCTAATTAAGATGATCTTCAATGGTGTCGCAAATATCATGGTAAATTTAATATACCCTATTCAAGGACATTAAAAACGTAAAATTCGGGCTGTAAACAGTTCGGATCAAGCGGACAAAGACAATTGAAATGAATTGATCACAACTCAGAATTAAAATAAAAATTAAAATACTTCAAAACTCACGACTTTATATCTCTTTCCTGATAACTCAAACTAGTCATTGTAAACTATATATAACATCACTACCAGATGACCCAGTTATAGAGGAATAGAAAGAAATAAAAATATCACCCTCTTGATGCTCCCGAGAACGTAAACTCCATGGACAGTCCAAAAACAAACAAGCGATAACCCATTAGAGAAATTCTTCATGTCYTGAACCACCACAAAACACTGCGAAAAATAAAATTACTTTGGAATAGTTTAAAAGGTGAATATGTTCAAGAACTTCATCAAATCCGGCTAGTTTTTTTTTTTTTTTTTCTAAACAAGCAGCCAACCACCGATTATATAGTACATATGACTTCATATAATGACAAAAGTATTAATCGATCATCTAATTATTTTGAATATTAACCCAATATTAAATTGTTTCATTAAAATTATATAAATTACCTTAACTGTAAGTTTCTCAAATCAAATGAGGATGACACCAGTAAACTCAATCTAATATAGGTATGTCTGCAAACGCAATCGTAGGAGGCAATCCTTATTTTTTTTAGCGAATAAAATAATATTTTGGTGACTATAACGAACTTTTGTTCCTTTCCTTGCAAATTCAGGTTTCTTAAATAGAACAATGTGCAGAGAAATGAATGAGCCGCCTGACAGATACTTAATAGGTCTAAAACAAGTCTAGGAAGACTATTTTCGGGATTACTTTCTTTAATCTTGATCTTGCAAAAAAATTAATATAGTAGAAATCTATATGTTTCTGTAATTTATAGACTACTTCAGCGTTACAGCTACTAACACATTAATTAGAACTGTGTAAAATATTGGGTRGTCAAAAAAGTATTTTCGTATTTTGTCAATACAAGTAGATGTCATTGCAGTCGTATATCTSCAGTGCTACCAATCACATTGTWAATTCGGAAAGTGAAAAAAAGATACAGCTGCTCAAGAATTAGTGAAAAATTATATATGTATATATATATTTTGAAATTTTTGTACAAAAAAGAGAGAATGTCACGCAAGCCACCAATGAATTTGCGAAGTTTACGGGGACGATGCGGTATCAGTTTGTGTAGCACAACAATGGCACCCTCGCTTACGTTCTGGAAATTTCAAAATTTTACTAACGGAATTGTATCTCTAGCGGAAAAATTACAAAACGTGGCATATATTTGTTTATTAATTATTATAAATATAAAAACAAAAAACAAAAAAAAAACTGAAGTGAGATTAGAAATACGAAAAGACTTTTTCGACTACCTAATAGGTACATTTAAAAGATGAGGCTGTAATTATTATGACTTCTATTGAAAGGTTACGTATATTCACTTCCAAGTTACAGAAACCGCGTTTTTTCGATTCTTGCAGAGGAAATTTATTCAACAACCTCTGAAAAATCCGTCTTGAGSTGCGGAAGATTTGTCTGCTTAAAAATTACTCAAACCAAAAAACATAAACAATGTATTACTACAATCGATAGATATGGGAAATGATTGAAGGGCTGGTAAAAATTTGTTTTTCGTTTTTTGTGAAAAAAAAATCATAATTAAATCCAGCGTTGCTTAAAAGGTCAAAAGTCTTATTCCTTCGATAATTGCCATCTATATCTAAGAAGGTTTAGAAAAAATTTCATGGCGATCTTTTCTCTTTCGAGGAAAAAGCGTGCAAAGCTTCGAAAGCCAATTACACTAATTAACAATTTTTCTGGATGAATTTCAAATTTTCGCAGAAAACTTTCTAATATAAGTACATATGTGCATTTGATATTTATATACATATGTATATGTCAATAAAAATAGGTCACTGAGAGCTAAACTGAGTACTTATTAATAAAAATAAATTCTTARTCCGCTGTTCTTTTCAATTCACCACTCAGCGCTATAATATTTTAAGCGCTCAAATTTTCAACCTAACACACATATACAACAACTAAACCCACTGTGCGTCGGCACTACTCGTTTTTCTTTGCATACGAAATATGAAATGTATAATTTACGCTTTGAAAGCATTTCTTACTCAACCGAAAGTGCAATTTATTTAGCCATTTTTCACTGAACGACATTTCCACTTTTTCTTTAACGCTTTCGCCACAATTCCTCACGGCGTTTAGGCAGCAACAAAAAACGTATTAAGAGCTCGGAACTTTATCACCAGTCGAAGGCGTCCGAAGGCATGGACATGGAGAATCCCGGCAAACGAAAAGGTGAGCAGATTAAGATTATTTACTTACCTATTCACTTACTTACTCACTTACCCTATCTACTTCGCAAACACTACCCACAAATACTTCCCGGTTCAACTTTTCCCATACCTTGCTGCCTTTATGTGTGTGAGTGTATAAATATGAGAGTGTGTTTTGTATTTTTAGGTTGTTTTGTGGGAGTGGGATTAGTTATTCCAAAAATGATCGGCCACTTGAGACTGTAGCAGCACGATATATATACATACACATTTACCTACAACAAATATCAGGTCAGCGCTACAACCAGAAATCTGTTCTTTTCTCAAGCATAAGTTGAGCAAAGCAGCAGTTTGCCTTCTCGCCTATTATTTGACTAAGCGAACACMCAAAAAAATTAAAAAAGAAAGGAAGACGGCATTTACAAAAACACCAAAAATGCTAGTACAAATAAGACCACCGAACTTGAAGTACCGTTTGTTTGGCTTTTGTACCACAAACTTCCTAATTGTATATCAATAAATGTTCACTTCGTTTCCTTTCTTCGTCCAAAATGTTTGTATTTTACGCCTACCGAGCCAATTTTTTACGACCATTTAATGATTTGTAAATAATCCACGTTCGTTCTTTTTGGTTTGGGTGGGWCAATTTTATTCTCATTTTGGATATTGACAGTTATGTAATGTAATGATAAGAAGTTTGCCATTGAATTGATATTTTACTTTGTTATTTGGCCGGTTTGAACTCGCTATTGTGAGCAGTCCGAAAAAATCATATAGCGTTACTTTTCGACCATTTTCTTGAGTAAAGCGCCATACTTCGTCAATATAATATACTTTAAGAGAGCCCATGAATGCTTTGTTCAATGATTGCATTTTATGTGTAGAATGTTGTGGCAATGACAATATGATAATACGAGCCAAATCAAATAGATATAGTGTCCATCAAATATTAAAAAAACCGGATCTTCTTTAGATGATTTTGTGAAATCTAGAAAGTATTTGAACCAATTGGTAAAAATTAGTACTTGTACCCATCCAGACAGATGAGACGACGATTTGCCTGTTAATAACTTTTGATTGACGAGACTACAGTACTGACAGCCCCGTTTCATGAACGTTCCAAATACGCCTACTGAAAAATTATGTTTAATAAACTCATCTTTCAACAAGTTGAAAAACGAAGTCACTTTCGGACGATCGAAAGATGTGTCGATTGGTGCACGCAAGTTCAGAATTTCGCTATGTTGTTTACAAAATCCGTATAACCAATCATTATCCGTACATTTTTTCGAGACATTGAATTTATTTTGAATGTGGTTTTTAATGCTATTTGGAATGAAAGGACCGCAAATCTAGTCTCGTCTGCACAAAAAGCGTGACTACATCATCAAAGAGTACCTTACAATCGCATTCTGTTTTTCTTGGCATAGATATTTTTTTCTGCCAAGTTTTAATCGTTTAATCGTTTTTAATTTAAATATGATTACTTTCGGAACTCTCGGCATTTCAACAATATTATGTTAAATTTCCATGAAGAAATACTACAAAATAGGGAAATTGAATCACCACCCTTATAACTCAGTGCTAAATCGTATGATTATTGACTGCCAAGCCAATTCTGGATAAATACATATTACCGTCTTGGTTTTTATAAAAATAAAACTGCAGAAATTGTCATACAGGGTGGCTGATGAATTTTGCTACATTAAGAAACTGAAATAACTTTTTTTTCAGTGTATGGAATTCATTTTTCTTTTATTCATGTTAAAGCTCATTCAATTTTATTAAATATAGCTTAATTAGTTTTAAAAATAACGGAATCTAAATGCCCTGCTCGTTGATGCATGTGAGGCATCTTACCAAAAAGTTGTTCATTACTGCTTGGAGAGTTGAGACAGAAATAGCAGCAATTGTTTCTCGAATGGATTGCCTTAGTACATTCAAATTTGTTGGTTTTGCTTTGTAGACTTSCTSTTWKCAATAACCCCACAAGAAAAAGTCAGGTGCAGTAAGGTCAGGCGACCTGGGTGGCCAACGGAATGTGGAGTTTCTGGATATCAGCTTATTGGGAAATTTTCGTCGCATTTCTGTCATAACAGGTTGGGCTATGTGAGGGAGGAGCTGCACCGTCTTGCTGAAACCACACAGAGTTGAAAGAAATTCTCATTTGGCATAATTCTGGATAGAAAAACTCTCTCAACGTGCTAAAGTAACGGCCTCCAGTAACCGTAACGGTGTGACCGTTTTCTTCGAAGAAGTAGGGCCCGACAACGCAGCGTGATGAAACTGCACACCACACTGTGACACGAAGTGGTTGCAATTCCGTCTCATGGAGTATCTGTGGGTTGGAAGCACTCCATATTCGGCAAATTTGTTTGTTTATGTTGCCGTTTATATCGAAATGGGCCTCGTCAGACATGAAAAGACAGTTCAACATGTTTCCATCCTCCTCCACCATTTGAAGCATCTTCTGCCAAAATTCCAAGCGAATCGGCAAGTCTGCAGCGTTCAGTTTGTTRGCCATTTGAATTTTATATGGGAATAAGTCCAAATCTTTGTKYATAATTGACTGTAATGACTGTCTGCTTACAMCCATTTGAGCAGATAAGCTTCTTGTCGAAACACGTGGATTGTTTTGTATGGCAGCAGCTACAGCAACGAATGTTTCCTCCGTTCGAACTGAAGGAATTCGATGGAAAGGTCTTCTGTTGACTCTCCAATGCTCGGCAGTATTGTTTACAAGTCTCATTATAGTCCACCTGCTCGGAGGATTGCTGCCAAACGTGCGCCTATGCTCTCTTTGAACCGAAACTACGGACTCCAGTGCGTGATAGCGGCGGACAATCCAAATTTTTGTTTCGGTGTCCCAGTTATCTATTTTTGTTAAATGTAAAAGCCAATCTGCAAACATAAAATAAAAAAAATTAACCAGATTCATTAAACAGAAAAAAAGTTATTTAATTTTCTTTTGGTAGCGGCTTTCATCAGCCACCCTGTAGTTCCTTGAAATTAAGTGCAGCAGATATAAGCGGTCAAGAAATCAAAATTACATTGTTATATAGTCGCTTGCCCTAGATAACGATGAGGCAGTTTTTCGAAACTTTAAAATAAAAACAGCTTTAACTCGTCATTGAAGAAGAATTGAGTTGTAGAGAAAACCTCTAAAACGTTGAGATATGATGACAAGCATTCGTAAAGGGAAAATATTCGAGACTTTATCAATTTTGACACAAACTGCTACTCTGATACAATGACCTTTGAAATATTAAATATAAATTAAAGACCATCAAAACAATTAAGGAAGGGCTATTCAGGTATAATCGCACATGTCATTCCTTTGCAACTCACAAGGGTTAACGTTGGGGTAAACCTTCAAATACATACGGTTAGTTACATGTGGTGCCAGGCAAGTTTTCATCCGATTTTATTCATTCTAAGCACAAATATACACCGTTATTAAAAAAAACACGTTCTCTCTATTTTATTACGATGACTCATATATAAGTTGTATAAAGTCACCCGGAAGTTGGAAAATCTTTATGTTCAGTAAATAGAGGCTGAGGGGGGCCACCTATTTTTAACCAATTTTTTGACACACAGACATGCCATTGTCAGAAAAYAAATATCCCTAAAATTCATATACCCCATTATACATATATGCCGATAACACAAACATGCTGATACTTAAAACGCAATAACTTCAGTTCCAATAGATGAAATGTCATGAAATTCTCACTGGACAATCGAAAATGGTAGTAGATTCTTATAGATTCAATTTTTTACTTTGGAAAGTACCTTGTATCACACATTTACCAGCATTTGTGTTAAAAACTCAACTTTCAGCACTGGGTCATTATCATCCAGTAAAATCTAAGAATTGTTCTTCCACAATTCCGGCCGATTTCGAAGGATCTTCTCACGCAAACGCCTCAATACAGCCAAATAGAACTCATTATTCTCCGTCTGTCACTTCGAAATGCACCAAACCATCAATGTCGAAAACAATAATGAACATAACCATGAGTTTTGAGTGGCTTTGTGGTGTTTTATTTTTGGTTTCACCTAGTTCTTCCCCTCCATTCCGATGATTGTCTCATAATGTCTCTTCAGCAGTAATACTACCCTCCATGAAACTTTATGGCGTTTCATACCTAAAATATCCACCAAAAACATTTGAAGGGACACGCGAGAGATGTCGAACTCTCTTGCATCTCTCTAATACTGACCAGACGATTCTCAAGCACTATATACTTCACTTTTTAAATATCTTCATCAGTTAAATTGTTCGAAAGCCATCCAGAACAAGGCATGTCTTCAATGAACTTTCCAATATCTTCGAAGGCTTGGTATCACTCACAGMCTTGTGTTTTTGATAAAACTGAATAACCGTAAACCTTATCCTATACTTTGGCCGATTTTGCACACAAAAGTTATTTATAAATGCAAAATTTGACATTATACATTGTAAAAATCGCAACACACTACTAAAGTGTACCGA